ATATCAGGTGATTTTTTCACTTTTACACCTCCAACCGTGGAAAACAAAAACATTTACACAAAACGAGAAGTTTTATCAACTATAGCCAAATTGTTTGATCCATGCGGATGGCTAGCACCAATAGTGGTCGTAGCAAAACTGATAATGCAACAAATTTGGCTGGATAAAATCGATTGGGATGATACACTGAAACCAATCACCCATATAAATTGGCAAAACTTTGTCAAAAATAGCAATGATATTAAATCTCTCAGAGTTCCAAGATGGATACAGTTTACACTAGATGCTTCTGTTGAGATTCATGGATTTTGTGACGCATCGGAGAGCGCGTATGGAGCCACGCTATATGTTCGGATTGAAAAAACTGACCATACCACACACACCTTTTTATTAGCAGCAAAGACTCGTGTAGCACCAATCAAGAAACTATCAATACCAAGGCTCAAATTATGTGGGGCAGTATTACTTTCCAAATTAGCAAAATCTATTACAAACAGTCTACAAATATCAAAATATTCAACACATTTTTGGACAGACTCTACTATCGTCTTGGCCTGGTTAAAAAAGCCTCCTTGTCATTGGAGCACCTTTGTGGGAAATAGAGTCTTGACTCTGAAAGCAACCCAGCTGACATTGCTAGTCGTGGATGTTCTCCAACTGAACTAACGACTCATGAGCTCTGGTGGCATGGACCTCAATGGCTCAAAATGCCAAAAGATCGTTGGCCATCGCAAGATATCCCAAACGACACAAATTTAGAGGCCAAAGCTGTAAAAGTTCTGACTATATTTCAAGAAAGAGATGATCCATTAAAAAATTTCTCATCTTTGGCAAAAGTCTACCGATCATACGCCTATGCTCTGCGATTTTGGACAAAATACAGGCGCAAATCGACAAAATTTTCGCTCCTCATCAATAGATTTTACCGCAGCCGAAATCCAAGATGGAAAACGATCTTGCATAATTCGTACACAAAAATTCGTTTATGCAGATGAATATAATTCACTAATGAAAAAGTTTCCAATTTCTCCATCGAGCCCTCTATTGACGTTAAACCCGTTTCTCGCCTCAAAGGCTATTATTCGAGCTAATGGCAGATTAGTTCAATCTCCAGCCCTTAAATATAGCGAACGTCATCCCATAATACTACCACACGGAACTACCCGTAGCAAATTGTTGGTCGAATTCATTCATAAGATCACTTTACATGGTGGTAATCAATTGATGACCCGAGTGCTTAGATCCGAATTCTGGATATTTGGACTCAAATCTCTGGTTAAGCAAACTATACGAAAATGTCGAATCTGCTTAATTCACAAGAAACGAACCCAAACTCAAATAATGGCCTCGCTGCCACCCGAACGTACTTTTCCGTCTCGACCCTTTACAAACACTGGGGTAGATTTTGCAGGAGCCTTTAATATTAAAAGTTATTCAGGAAGGGCTTGCTTTATTACAAAAGGCTATGTTTGCCTGTTCGTCTGCTTCGCCACCAAGGCTATACATTTAGAACCAACTAGCGATTTATCTCCATATGCCTTTCTCGCCGCTTTCTCCAGATTCATAAGTCGGCGAGGTTGTCCGTCTTGTATATTTTCCGACAACGGAACCAATTTTGTGGGAGCGGTCGATCTATTAAAGCGAGATCGATTAGCTTTCATGAAGAATATTCAAAGTAGCACTATCCAAAACAATTTCAATAAAAATCTTACTTGGAAATTTATCCCGCCTGTTTGTTTGTGGGAGGCCGGCGTTGAATCGTTTAAAATGCATTTGCGAAAAAGTATTCCAAAAATGAATTTCACATTTGAAGAATTTACAACTATCTTAGAAAGAATTGAAGCCTGCCTTAATTCGCGACCCTTAAGTCCTGGTAGCGATGATCCAAATGACCTTTCCCCGTTAACTCCTGATCATTTCTTAATTGGAACATCAATTCTTACTCCTGCTGAACCCGACATTTCCGACACAGATCTTAGTCTAGTAAATCGTTGGAAACGACTCAAAGTTATTTCACAATACTTTTGCAATAGGTGGAAATTAGAATATCTCTACGAACTTCACAGAAGAACTAAATGGAAGCGTGAAAAGGAGAATGTCAAAGAAGGAGATTTAGTAGTCATCAAGGACGATAGGTTGGCTCCAAATGAATGGAAGTTGGGTCGAATTGAAAAAACATATCTCGGTAGCGATCAGAATACGAGGGTTGTAGACATACGGACATCAAGTGGCAACATTAGCAGACCTATCACAAAAATTGTCAAGTTGTTTTCCGACTGACTGACCGGAATCCTACTTAAAAAAGAACATAGTACTCGCCTTTGGTTTTTTCAGATATGGCTGCCTACTTGCCCAATCAAGACTGCCGTTTAGATGATCGCAGCCGCAGTCCCAACCAATCCGCACGTCCAACAGCGAGAAGTTCCAGCAGATCCAGACGCCCAACCGAACCCAGTCCCAGCAGACCGGCTCATAGACACCGCAGACTTCCCAGTTCCACATCGCCAGAAAGACGTCAACGAAGCTGCTCCGCTGCAAGACCCCGCCAACGCCAAGAACGACCCAGCTATTGGCAATATTCCTGTGGGTTGTGTCAGGAGGACCATGCCCTCAGTGCTTGCGAGAGGTTTCGCCACCAGACCCCCTTCCAGCGCTATGAGACTGTGGAGCGTAGGGGGTACTGCAGAAACTGCCTTGCCAGAAGTCATTTGGCCCCTGACTGTCCGTCGTTGACTGGTTGCAGGAGGTGCAACAACCGGCATCATACGCTGCTACACGGGGCGTCTCAGCTGGAGGAAGTATCTCTAAACGTGGAATTTGTAACAACACCAAACTTTGCGTGGGATTTGGTATTTGTGCCAACGGCTATGGTGCGCATCAAATCTGACAAAATAGAGAGGTACACCATGCTAAGAGCATTAATCAGCCAATCAGCGACGATGTCCAAAATATCGTATGCGGCTTTCCGTAGATTGGGCCTACAATCGCGGATTTACAAAGGGCAGCGATTTACCACCTTTACGGTTTCGCCCCGCCGCACAAACAGCCACTGGAGTCTTAGAGTCAATGCCTTGATAATCGAAGATTTGCCGAGGCGCATATACTCGGACCCGATCCTCGAGGACCCCACGAGAAGTTTCAGAAATTGCGCCCTAGCCGACCCTGATCCCCGAGGCAACAATCCCGTCGATGTGGAACTGGGTGCTGACGTTTACTCAGCCATAAAAAAAGGCCTATGATACCCAACTGTTTGCAGGTCCAATAAAAAATATGCCAAGAATATAAAGAACAATATTGTATTTCAAAAATGAATGTAAACACTTTTCATTCGGCGGCCAGAAATGTTCATAAAAGATGCTAGATTTTTGCGCAACAGTGTTGCTTGTTACATTACCGGTGGCTGCATAAATAACATCATAAAAAAATTATGTACATATTAGACACATATGCACACACACATGCACATATATGCAGCCACCGGTAATTTCCAATGCTGAATTCAAATAAATAAGCATCGTCACCAGCCAAAACAGGTTTGCTGTGACGATGCAAATTGGAGTTAGCTCAGTTCAGTCTCGAATTCAAAAGCGCGTACGCAAGTTTCCCCCCCGAAGTGAACAGTGCCCAAAAACAAAAAAAAAAACAAAGTTTCAACAAAAAAACCCATCATACCAAAAAACATAAAACATTGTACAAAAAACCAAAACCAATTGAACAAAAAACTACAAATAAACAGAAAAATCTTGTGAACACAAAAATTGTACAAAAAAGGTAAAAATTAATTGAACAAAAAAAACCTAAAACTAAACAAAAAAGTGAAAACTAAACAAATTGAATTTTTAAAAATGAAATAAAACCATACCACAAACAAAAATAAACACAACATCTTTTACTTAAATAAAAAAAGGTGATGTAATAAACAGCCACATTACTTAAAACTTGAAAAAAAAAATCAACTTCAAATAAATCCAATACAACATTCATATGTTGCTGTGCAGAACACGTGTGTGGTTTTGCATTTCATATTTCCCCACACAACAATATTGCTGTAGTTTATGCTGGGAAATAATATGGTCGCTGACACTGCAATACTGATCATATCGCTGGAATGCTAGAGTTGTGCGATATTCCATTAGATTGTGTTAACTCCTCCCCCTTACTTGAATGTGGACCGTCCTCGGGCCTTTTGTAACTATCAATGACAGTTTCAATCACATCACATGTTACAGTTCTTCTCTGACATACTTTAAATGCAAAGTAGAGGCTGACGACTAAAATACTGTTCACAAGTCCTGAAACTGGAGGAGCAGCAATTATTCTCATCATCACCTCATTGACGATTTGCAGGTTTTGAACGTTTAATCTTTGCAGATACGGTAGGCCCAATATCTCTTGATAACCTGTGACATTGACAATAGTGGATGTTGGCTTCTGGTTCTTTTAAATGGAGCCGTTAACACTGATTTCGCCTTCAAATTTTATTAAGTATGTACCGTTAATTATTGACACTGTACCGTCCAAGTCTTTTGTAAAAGCCGTATTATCATCAAAATCACGCCGTCATCCAAGATCAAATGGTTTAAGATGTCTAGGTCTTGTGGTGCAATGTACCACGGAAATATAATAAAGCTGTTGAGCACAAGTTGGTCAAGGACAGTTTACATTTGCAATTGCAACTTGCGGTTCCCACAATAATATTGTATTGGACGGGGTATAGAATTTTTTCTTATATACTAAATTATGCTTAGGATATTTAATTAGAAAATATAACTATTCCCGTTAATACCAAAATCGTCAAAGATTGGACAATCTGGCAGTGTTTAAAATATGTACTAAGTCCAACCTATTACTATTATTAATTTATCTAAATTGTAGTGTAATCGTTTGTTATCGATACACTGACCTAGAGATCCCTTTCTTCCTAATTCCCAAACAGCTGTTATCTTAGTTTTGCTTTGTTGTCGTATGTTTTTGACATTATTTTTATTGTTTATTTTTAGGATATTAGATGATCAAATTAGAATTAAAAAATGCCGTTATAATTACTTATAAGGCAACATAATTCTGAAATAAATTCAAATAAGTTTTAACTGCCGAACTTTTGGCACAAAATTTGGCTAGAAAGCAAAGGAAGAAGGATGACATATTGATTCCACCAACAGAGAAGCCAAAGCATAGAAGAGGTGGTAAGATTGTGAGGTTGCGTAGACGATTGGCCGATTTGAAGTCTGCTATTTACGCTGATCCTCCACCACCGTGGCACATTGCATACGAGCTATGGATACTTGTGGGCGGCATTGAAACATAAATGTAACAAAGAAAAATTAAATGAAGCAAAAATAAACACAACAATGAACACGAAGTAGAAAATTAGAAATTCTTTTATTAAATAGACGTTTTTACACTATAAAAACTATTATTTATTGCACTTAAATATTAAAATCTTAAAATTATGGCAAAATTAAGCTATAGGAATTGCTTATTATTGTACTAAAAAAAATAAAATTTTGAGAATTACAAGGAATCGTGGAAATCCACAAGTAAAAGAAGAAGAATTATGAAGTAGAAACTATAGAAAAGGAATTATCACATTTATCAACAATAACAACTAGTCGGGTACAATAATAACCAGTAACCACAATCTTTTTACAGCCTGTTCCACGATATCGAAAGAACACATTCGCATAATTTTTACACGACAAACAGCTGATTTCCGTTCCACTAAAATCCATCAGAACGAAAATTTGCACGAAAATCAAAGCGAACGAAAACGTAAGCGTTTCAGCGTAATTTTGCGTTCCACTATCTTTTTTCTTTCGTACGCATGCGAACACAAATGTCAAGTCAGTCACTTGTGTGTTTGCTGTCGTATCATAACAATTAAGGAAAATTGTTTTAACATAAACATTGCTTGATTGAAAATGGAAGCAAAAATGTAAGTAAAAATAATAAATGCAATTTAATATGTCAACAACAAATATATTTTTTTATTTTCTCAATTCCAGGAGTGCAAATTTTTGGAAGCAGCAGGCAATCCCTGGAAGACCACTGGAAGAAAGTAGTTTTTAAATTAAATACCATGGGTCCTCCTTCCCGCACAACTGCAGAGTGGAAAAAGGTAAGACAGAAAACTGGGCTTACGATGTGTTTGTATGACCGACATTACTGTTTACAGACGTGGGCCGATCTAAAGTCCCGCACAAAAAAGAAAATTGCTGAAAATAAAAAAGGGCTGCAAGGAACAGGTGGTGATTTATACCGGTTTGAGTGCTTAACGGATCTGGAAACAGCAATTGACCGGACACTCTTCTTGTCGAAGTCCGCAGCACTAAACGGTAAAACTTTGGCTACGCAGAAGACATAGATTACTGCTTCGAGGCATTGGATACAACACCATCAAGACCGTAGCAGTAGTAACACCTACCAGGCAGTTCAGTCGCCAGAAACACATACTCAACAACAACAACAAATAAACGTACAAACCTGCACCATCACAACCCAACAATACCAACCACCAGCCAAAAGACAAAAAATCTCACCCCATCTCTACACACAATCTGCAAAACAACAGACACAGTCAGCACACACATAACAAACACAGACCCAACAGCAACACCAACGTAAACAACCAACGTCCCCTCGTCAACACATGGAACACCAAACCGTGCAGAAATCACCCCCATTGAAATGCACATCACAACATGACTTTCCATCCACATCATCTGCAAAAAAACGTTCCAACGTCGGTGAGCAAATACCCCTTATCCGTCGGCAAGTGCGGCTGGTCGAGCAGGCAAATGCAATAGCCAAGGAGCAAGCAGATGCAAGCAAAAGTATGGCTGACGCTGCAGAGAGAATGGCAGATTGTGCCGAGGCCCAAACAAAAATGCTTAAGTCAATAGAAGCAATTCTATAAACTTTTTACAAAACAATTCCCAAACCAATTCACTATAGTCCTTTAATAAAAAATTAAACTAATTGTTTAATTTTATATTTTTATTTTAATAAAAAAAATCTGTTAATTTTACAAATTTATTGCAATTTTTCTCCTTATTGCGTCAGCTCAGCTTTCAAAATCATTATTATTATCCACTTCGTCTTCCAGATCATCATCAATAACATCACCTGGGGGTTCATTAGATCGGTAGTGCACTACCTTTGCAGCGTCATAATGAAGGCCCCGAGATCCGATGATACATCGGAATCTGTTCTTTAGGACCCCAAAGCACCTTTCAATGACGTTTCGCGCACTTGCATGCCTCTTATTGATTTTTTTTCTCGGCGGCATCTCTAGGGCTGCGGTAAGGCGTCATGAGAAAGGGCTTCAATTTGTATCCTCCATCCTCTATAAGAAAAGAAAACACAAATTCAATTGATGTATTATAATATAAGATGTATACAAATTACTCACCGAGAATCCAAAAGTTTCGTTTTCCATTGTCAAACTCCCTTTGCATACATTTGTCTGGACCACTCCTTTCCCATACAAATGCATCATGGTTGCTTCCGGGATGTCTAGCGTCGACAAATGTTATTCGCATTTTATGGTCGCATATCTATTTCGAAAAAACACAATAATTTAAAAAACGCTTTACGATAAATGTATTTATTTACCACCATTGCATTTATACTATAATACCCCTTTCTATTATAGTAAAGGGCTTTCAATTCGTCCCCTGGTGACTTGATGCGGATATGCGTGCCATCAACGCATCCAACAATTCCAGGGAACATTGTTCTTTCATAGAAAGCCTCCATTGTGTTGCGTTCCTCTGTGAGTGTCGGCGTTTCTATCCATTGGCCGCAAATGTGGTCCTCAAAAATCTGCAGACATTCCGCAATGGTTCTGCTCACTGTCGACTTCGCTGTTGAAGTCAAGGCTTCGTTCCCTAAATTCTGTTGGTAGCTTCCTGTCCTGTGCCAAGTTTTAAATCAGGGCGGATTTGGGTAGTTCTGCAACTTCTCTTCCATCATATCCAAAAGAGCCCGAAAAACTTCCTTGGACACACGAAAATTGGCCACAAACCTAGAAAAATTCATTTTTTTATTATTTCAAAAATGTAAAAATACAATCATACTTACTGGTTTTTAGGTACTTCACATAAATTCGAAGCATCTCTTAAATGACTCCGTGGCACATTTTGAACCTCCTCCACATCATCCATAAAAAATAGGGCTACAGAAATATTAATTTTTTTATTTTTTAAGAACACAAATAGTGTGAACACATTCACTAGAAATTTTATTTTGTTTGTTTATTTACAATTTGTTTGTTTACAACTGAACTGTCAGTTGAGACAGAGCCACTGCTGCTTTTTCGCGTTTAAATTAGGCATTTGGCGCTTTGTTTGCCTTATTTCGCGATATATTTTTCCAAAAATTTTTAGCAACACTGAATCACGTAAGGCTATGCGAAACAAAGGACGAAAGTTAGTGGAGCGCATTCTTATACGAAAGTGAGTGAGTAGCCTTCGTTCTCACAAATTTTCTTTCGAGATCGTGAATCAGGCTGTTAGTAATTATAATACATAGACGGCAGAAATTAATGCATTAAATACATTGAATTTGAAGAAAAATATAAAAACGAGTTTTACAAAAAAAAATATGTGAATGATAAGTTAGATAGACTAGATATACTGAAACTGAATTTGTTTAATATAAAACAACTGAATCTATAGATGCTAATGAATTAATAGTATTAGAAGCAAAATTTCGAGATCTTTGTGAAGAGGTTGAGGAAATTTTAAATAAACTAACGATAGCATATAGCTGCGTTCGGTATTTCGGTTGTGGGCAAGAATCTCCAGGTGTTAATTGGGACATTCAGGTACTTAGACGAGTTTATTGTGCAGGTTGAATTGCTGCACGATTTAAACCTTACGAGATGGGGATCGAGAAATTTATATGAAATATGTTTATAATTTTAAGCTATCGAGTGAGGTACGGTGTACTTTAGGTAGGTTTAATAAGCCAACTACACTTGAAGGTTTAAAGAAGTTATTAATTGATGCATATCCGAACCCCAAAACGATACAACAAGTCTGTCAGAGGACCAAGCGAATTCTTCGGCCAATCTGGTTAGGGAAAATGTAGCAGGTTTAGCAGATCAGTTGAGTACATTCCAAATAAATAGTTTGCCAAAGCCGGCGAATAGGACTAAAGATGCAAAATATAAGGCGAGTGATAACTTGGCACTCAATGTATTTGTAAAAAGAATAGATGATGCATATAAGACTATTATGCTTGCGAATCCACCTCACACTCTGAATGAAGCAGCCCAAAGATGTTCTACGGCAGAGAGGACGTTAGATCTTCAAAACAGAAGCGTTTTTGCTTTTAATGAGAGAGGTAGCAATCAGAAAAGTAAAAAATAATCAAGTAATGGTAACAGGTACAATTACAGTCCCGACTACAATAACAACAGTAATTACGATAACGATGGTAGAGGTGGTTGTAATTCCAATGGATATAATAGTAGATACAACAACTACGATAGGCGATGGAGAGATAATGGTAGAGGTCATTACAATAATAACGCCAACTTTAGGGATGCCCAATTTGAAAACAATGCAGGGAATACAACGGAATACGAGATGCAACAATAATAACATTTACAATTTCGGAACACTTCCTGTCGAAGAGCAGGAAAACTACGAGGGCCGGATGACGGAAGAAGTTGTCCACGAAGGCCAAATATAAAGATTTACAATATTACACTGAAATCAATGGCATATTTAACGCTGAGGAGCACAACCATAGGCAAGAATTTAACATTTCTGATTGACACTGGGGCGGACGTCTCAATCTGCAAAGATTTCGCTTTCAGTAACATGAATTCAAACAAAACAGCGAGATTAACACGTATCACAGAGACAGCGGTACAGTGCTTGAGTAAATCAGTGTTAAACTTGTCAATTGACACAGAACAGATAAGTCACAATTTCCTTGTTGTCAAGAGAGATTTCCCGATCCCCATGGATGGAATAATAGGGAGAAATATTCTGTCAAAATACGTATGTAATTGAAATTGATTTTCAGACTTTTTTGATAAATGGAAACGATTTAATATTACCATTACATTTGAAACATAAAAAAATAACATTTTTCTGCCCGCGCGGTCTGAGGTTATCATTCCAATTGAATTGAAGATAAAAGAGGATAGCGTGATACTGAATAAGGAAGTGGCGGATGGGGTTTTCCCAGCTAGTTGTTTAATACCCCAGAATAGACTTAAACATGTAAAATTTTTGAACACTAATAGTATATCTGTTGAATTACAATGTCTAAATTTGAATATCAGGAATTTCAGAGAGTACGATGTGTATTACGCTAAAAATATATATGAGAGAAATACCAATGCACGAGCGAATGCACTTTTTGAATGCCTGGATATAGGATCGGTTGACACATATGCCAGAGAGACAGTTAAAACCATTATAAATGAGTTCCAGGATATTTTTTCACCTTACAGGTGAGAAGTTAAGTGTCAACAATTTTTATGAAAAATGCATACAAACTACAGATAGCACACCCGTATATTACAGATTACTAGAGTCTCAAATGGAAGAGATAAACATGCAGGTCAATAATAATTATTAATAGTACCAAAGAAGATTACAGATGGGAGTAGAAAATGGCGCCTGGTTGTTGATTACATAAGCCTGAATGAAAAAATTGTCAATGACAAGTTTCCGTTGACAAGGTTGGAAGACGTTTAAGATAAGCAGGGAAGGGCCAAAAATCTCTTAAAGCTGGACATGACCAGTTCGTTCCATCAAGTAGGCCTCAAAAAGGAATCATGTCCTTTCTCGCGTCAGGAAAGGGCCATTATCAATTCAAGAGACAGCCATTCGGATTAAGAATATCATCCAACAGTTTGCAAAGAATGTTGACCATAGAAATGACAGGTGTGGATACTTCCGCGTTTCTTTACGTGGACGACATCATTGTTTTTGGATGCAGCTTGAGGCATCATAATAATAACCTTATTGATGTATTCCTCCGACTACGAAATTTTGCGAATAAGTGTTGTGTTTTTTATTTTTGAAGAAAGTAGTTTTTAAATTAAATACCATGGGTCCTCCTTCCCGCACAATTGCAGAGTGCGATGTGTTTGTATGACCGGCATTACTGTTTACAGACGTGGGCCGATCTAAAGTCCCGCACAAAAAAGAAAATTGCTGAAAATAAAAAAGGGCTGCAAGGAACAGGTGGTGATTTATACCGGTTTGAGAGCTTAACGGACCTGGAAACAGCAATTGACCGGACACTCTTCTTGTCGAAGTCCGCAGCACTAAACGGTAAAACTTTGGCTACGCAGAAGACATAGATTACTGCTTCGAGGCATTGGATACAACACCATCAAGACCGTAGCAGTAGTAACACCTACCAGGCAGTTCAGTCGCCAGAAACACATACTCAACAACAACAACAAATAAACGTACAAACCTGCACCATCACAACTCAACAATGCCAACCACCAGCCAAAAGACAAAAAATCTCACCCCATCTCTACGCACAATCTGCAAAACAACAGACACAGTCAGCACACACACAACAAACACAGACCCAACAGCAACACCAACGTAAACAACCAACGTCCCCTCGTCAACATATGGAACACCAAACCGTGCAGAAATCACCCCCATTGAAATGCACATCACAACATGACTTTCCATCCACATCATCTGCAAAAAAACGTTCCAACGTCGGTGAGCAAATACCCCTTATCCGTCGGCAAGTGCGGCTGGTCGAGCAGGCAAATGCAATAGCCAAGGAGCAAGCAGATGCAAGCAAAAGTATGGCTGACGCTGCAGAGAGAATGGCAGATTGTGCCGATGCCCAAACAAAAATGCTTAAGTCAATAGAAGCAATTCTATAAACTTTATTACAAAACAATTCCCAAACCAATTCACTATAGTCCTTTAATAAAAAAATTAAACTAATTGTTTAATTTTATATTTTTATTTTAATAAAAAAATCTGTTAATTTTACAAATTTATTGCAATTTTTCTCCTTATTGCGTCAGCTCAGCTTTCAAAATCATTATTATCATCCACTTCGTCTTCCAGATCATCATCAATAACATCACCTGGGGGTTCATTAGATCGGTAGTGCACTACCTTTGCAGCGTCATAATGAAGGCCCCGAGATCCGATGATACATCGGAATCTGTTCTTTAGGACCCCAAAGCACCTTTCAATGACGTTTCGCGCACTTGCATGCATCTTATTGATTTTTTTTCTCGGCGGCATCTCTAGGGCTGCGGTAAGGCGTCATGAGAAAGGGCTTCAATTTGTATCCTCCATCCCCTATAAGAAAAGAAAACACAAATTCAATTGATGTATTATGATATAAGATGTATACAAATTACTCACCGAGAATCCAAAAGTTTCGTTTTCCATTGTCAAACTCCCTTTGCATACATTTGTCTGGACCACTCCTTTCCCATACAAATGCATCATGGTTGCTTCCGGGATGTCTAGCGTCGACAAATGTTATTCGCATTTTATGGTCACATATCTATTTCGAAAAAACACAATAATTTTAAAATCGCTTTACGATAAATGTATTTACTTACCACCATTGCATTTATACTATAATACCCCTTTCTATTATAGTAAAGGGCTTTCAATTCGTCCCCTGGTGACTTGATGCGGATATGCGTGCCATCATCGCATCCAACAGCCCGAAAAACTTCTTTGGACAAACGAAAATTGGCCACAAACCTAGAAAAATTCATTTTTTATTATTTCAAAAATGTAAAAATACAATCATACTTACTGGTTTTTAGGTACTTCACATAAATTCGAAGCATCTCTTAAATGACTCCGTGGCACATTTTGAACCTCCTCCACATCATCCATAAAAAATAGGGCTACAGAAATATTAATTTTTTTATTTTTTAAGAACACAAATAGTATAAACACATTCACTAGAAATATTATTTTGTTTGTTTATTTACAATTTGTTTCTTTACAACTGAACTGTCAGTTGAGACAGAGCCATTGCTGCTTTTTCGCGTTTAAATTAGGCATTTGGCGCTTTGTTTGCCTTATTTCGCGATATATTTTTCCAAAAATTTTTAGCAACACTGAATCACGTAAGGCTATGCGAAACAAAGGACGAAAGTTAGTGGAACGCATTCTTATACGAAAGTGAGTGAGTAGCCTTCGTTCTCACAAATTTTCTTTCGAGATCGTGGATCAGGCTGTTAGTAATTATAATACATAGACGGCAGAAATTAATGGATTTATAAATGAATTAAATACATTGAATTTGAAGAAAAATATAAAAACTCGTCAACATATGGAACACCAAACCGTGCAGAAATCACCCCCATTGAAATGCACATCACAACATGACTTTCCATCCACATCATCTGCAAAAAAACGTTTCAATGTCGGTGAGCAAATACCCCTTATCCGTCGGCAAGTGCGGCTGGTCGAGCAGGCAAATGCAATAGCCAAGGAGCAAGCAGATGCAAGCAAAAGTATGGCTGACGCTGCAGAGAGAATGGCAGATTGTGCCGAGGCACAAACAAAAATGCTTAAGTCAATAGAAGCAATTCTATAAACTTTATTACAAAACAATTCCCAAACTAATTCACTATAGTCCTTTAATAAAAAATTAAACTAATTGTTTAATTTTTTATTTTAATAAAAAAATCTGTTAATTTTACAAATTTATTGCAATTTTTCTCCTTATTGCGTCAGCTCAGCTTTCAAAATCATTATTATCATCCACTTCGTCTTCCAGATCATCATCAATAACATCACCTGGGGGTTCATTAGATCGGTAGTGCACTACCTTTGCAGCGTCATAATGAAGGCCCCGAGATCCGATGATACATCGGAATCTGTTCTTTAGGACCCCAAAGCACCTTTCAATGACGTTTCGCGCACTTGCATGCCTCTTATTGATTTTTTTTCTCGGCGGCATCTCTAGGGCTGCGGTAAGGCGTCATGAGAAAGGGCTTCAATTTGTATCCTCCATCCCCTATAAGAAAAGAAAACACAAATTCAATTGATGTATTATGATATAAGATGTATACAAATTACTCACCGAGAATCCAAAAGTTTCGTTTTCCATTGTCAAACTCCCTTTGCATACATTTGTCTGGACCACTCCTTTCCCATACAAATGCATCATGGTTGCTTCCGGGATGTCTAGCGTCGACAAATGTTATTCGCATTTTATGGTCACATATCTATTTTGAAAAACCACAATAATTTTAAAATCGCTTTACGATAAATGTATTTACTTACCACCATTGCATTTATACTATAATAACCCTTTCTATTATAGTAAAGGGCTTTCAATTCGTCCCCTGGTGACTTGATGCGGATATGCGTGCCATCAACGCATCCAACAATTCCAGGGAACATTGTTCTTTCATAGAAAGCCTCCATTGTGTTGCGTTCCTCTGTGAGTGTCGGCGTTTTTATCCATTGGCCGCAAATGTGGTCCTCAAAAATCTGCAGACATTCCGCAATGGTTCTGCTCACTGTCGACTTCGCTGTTGAAGTCAAGGCTTCGTTCCCTAAATTCTGTTGGTAGCTTCCTGTCCTGTGCCAAGTTTTAAATCTGGGCGGATTTGGGTAGTTCTGCAACTTCTCTTCCATCATATCCAAAAGAGCCCGAAAAACTTCCTTGGACACACGAAAATTGGCCACAAACCTAGAAAAATTAATTTTTTTTTATTATTTCAAAAATGTAAAAATACAATCATACTTACTGGTTTTTAGGTACTTCACATAAATTCGAAGCATCTCTTAAATGACTCCGTGGCACATTTTGAACCTCCTCCACATCATCCATAAAAAATAGGGCTACAGAAATATTAATTTTTTTATTTTTTAAGAACACAAATAGTATGAACACATTCACTAGAAATTTTATTTTGTTTGTTTAATTACAATTTGTTTGTTTACAACTGAACTGTCAGTTGAGACAGAGCCATTGCTGCTTTTTCGCGTTTAAATTAGGCTTTTGGCGCTTTGTTTACCTTATTTCGCGATATATTTTTCCAAAAATTTTTAGCAACACTGAATCACGTAAGGCTATGCGAAACAAAGGACGAAAGTTAGTGGAACGCATTCTTATACGAAAGTGAGTGAGTAGCCTTCGTTCTCACAAATTTTCTTTCGAGATCGTGGATCAGGCTGTTAGTAATTATAATACATAGACGGCAGAAATTAATGCATTTATAAATGAATTAAATACATTGAATTTGAAGACAAATATAAAAACGAGTTTTACAAAAAAAATATGTGAATGATAAGTTAGATAGACTAGATATACTGAAAACTGAATTTGTTTAATATAAAACAACTGAATCTATAGATGCTAATGAATTAATAGTATTAGAAGCAAAATTTCGAGATCTTTGTGAAGAGGTTGAGGAAATTTTAAATAAACTAACGATAACATATAGCTGCGTTCGGTATTTCGGTTGTGGGCAAGAATCTCCAGGTGTTAATTGGGACATTCAGGTACTTAGACGAGTTTATTGCGCAGGTTGAATTGCTGCACGATTTAAACCTTACGAGATGGGGATCGAGAAATTTATATGAAATATGTTTATAATTTTAAGCTATCGAGTGAGGTACGGTGTACTTTAGGTAGGTTTAATAAGCCAACTACACTTGAAGGTTTAAAGAAGTTATTAATTGATGCATATCCGAACCCCAAAACGATACAACAAGTCTGTCAGAGGCCCAAGCGAATTCTTCGGCCAATCTGGTTAGGGAAAATGTAGCAGATTTAGCAGATCAGTTGAGTACATTCCAAATAAATAGTTTGCCAAAGCCGGCGAATAGGACTAAAGATGCAAAATATAAGGCGAGTGATAACTTGGCACTCAATGTATTTGTAAAAAGAATAGATGATGCATATAAGACTATTATGCTTGCGAATCCACCTCACACTCTGAATGAAGCAGCCCAAAGATGTTCTACGGCAGAGAGGACGTTAGATCTTCAAAACAGAAGCGTTTTTGCTTTTAATGAGAGAGGTAGCAATCAGAAAAGGAATAAATAATCAAGTAATGGTAACAGGTACAATTACAGTCCCGACTACAATAACAACAGTAATTACGATAACGATGGTAGAGGTGGTTGTAATTCCAATGGATATAATAGGAGATACAACAACTACGATAGGCGATGGAGAGATAATGGTAGAGGTCATTACAATAATAACGCCAACTTTAGGGATGCCCAATTTGAAAACAATGCAGGGAATACAACGGAATACGAGATGCAACAATAATAACATTTACAATTTCGGAACACTTCCTGTCGAAGAGCAGGAAAACTACGAGGGCCGGATGACGGAAGAAGTTGTCCACGAAGGCCAAATATAAAGATTTACAATATTACACTGAAATCAATGGCATATTTAACACTGAGGAGCACAACCATAGGCAAGAATTTAACATTTCTGATTGACACTGGGGCGGACGTCTCAATCTGCAAAGATTTCGCTTTCAGTAACATGAATTCAAACAAAACAGCGAGATTAACACGTATCACAGAGACAGCGGTACAGTGCTTGAGTAAATCAGTGTTAAACTTGTCAATTGACACAGAACAGATAAGTCACAATTTCCTTGTTGTCAAGAGAGATTTCCCGATCCCCATGGATGGAATAATAGGGAGAAATATTCTGTCAAAATACGTATGTAATTGAAATTGATTTTCAGACTTTTTTGATAAATGGAAACGATTTAATATTACCATTACATTTGAAACATAAAAAAATAACATTTTTCTGCCCGCGCGGTCTGAGGTTATCATTCCAATTGAATTGAAGATAAAAGAGGATAGCGTGATACTGAATAAGGAAGTGGCGGATGGGGTTTTCCCAGCTAGTTGTTTAATACCCCAGAATAGACTTAAACATGTAAAATTTTTGAACACTAATAGTATATCTGTTGAATTACAATGTCTAAATTTGAATATCAGGAATTTCAGAGAGTACGATGTGTATTACGCTAAAAATATATATGAGAGAAATACCAATGCACGAGCGAATGCACTTTTTGAATGCCTGGATATAGGATCGGTTGACACATATGCCAGAGAGACAGTTAAAACCATTATAAATGAGTTCCAGGATATTTTTTCACCTTACAGGTGAGAAGTTAAGTGTCAACAATTTTTATGAAAAATGCATACAAACTACAGATAGCACACCCGTATATTACAGATTACTAGAGTCTCAAATGGAAGAGATAAACATGCAGGTCAATAATAATTATTAATAGTACCAAAGAAGATTACAGATGGGAGTAGAAAATGGCGCCTGGTTGTTGATTACATAAGCCTGAATGAAAAAATTGTCAATGACAAGTTTCCGTTGACAAGGTTGGAAGACGTTTAAGATAAGCAGGGAAGGGCCAAAAATCTCTTAAAGCTGGACATGACCAGTTCGTTCCATCAAGTAGGCCTCAAAAAGGAATCATGTCCTTTCTCGCGTCAGGAAAGGGCCATTATCAATTCAAGAGACAGCCATTCGGATTAAGAATATCATCCAACAGTTTGCAAAGAATGTTGACCATAGAAATGACAGGTGTGGATACTTCCGCGTTTCTTTACGTGGACGACATCATTGTTTTTGGATGCAGCTTGAGGCATCATAATAATAACCTTATTGATGTATTCCTCCGACTACGAAATTTCGCGAATAAGTGTTGTGTTTTTTATTTTTGAAACCAGAGGTTGTCTATTTGGGACATCTTAATACAGATTAAGGTATCAGGACAGAACCCGCAAAAGATGATATCATTGTAATTATTACAGGAGGTTTCTACCTAAATGTGCCGATATTGCGAAAAGTCTGAATGGTCTTGCGAAGAAAAACGCAGTTTTCCAATGGAATGATCAATTCCAGAAAGCATTCGATACGCTGAAGAGTAAATTATTTAACCCACCGATATTACAGTACCCATTTTTTTCGAAACTATTCCTATTGACCACAGATGCATCGAGCTATGCCCTTGGGGCTGTATAATCGCAGGGGAAAGTTGGAATCTTATGCCAGCTCGACGTTGTCAAAACATGATCTCAATAGACCGATAATTGAGAAGGAGCTGCTTTCGATCCATTGGGAAATAAATTTCCCCATATCTTTATGGGAGAAAATTCACTGTGGTAACAGATCATAGATCTTTGATGTCATTATTTTCTCATAAAAATCCATCGTCAAAGATGACGAGGAAAAGATGGACTTGTGTGACTATGACTTCGATATAGTTTTTAAAAAAAGAAAAATGAACTCTAATGCAGAAGCTCTATCGTGGATAAAACTGAACAGTGAGAGTTTAAAAGCAATGATCCCAACAAGGAATGAGGTAAACAGGATATTAGCTACAACAAGAAGAATGGGCAAAGCTATGCCAAGGAAGGCTTTAGATACAGAGAGTAGTGTCACCCAGGAAGTATTTATATGGGATTGTGTCTCAAATTCTGACTTTAGAGAAATGAACAAGGTAATATTTGAACCTGATGCTAAGGCGAAAAGTACACACATAAGATGTTTATCTAATAGCGTAGTTGTAAAGTGCAGTGAAAATCCATCAACTATTAAGGTAGCCTTGGAAAAGCTGACAAGTGTAATGTGCAATTCAAGAACGGGCGAATTGGCATTGAGTAGAAATGATCAAATATTTTATATTATAGACATTGAGTCATTCAAACGTATATTCAACAATATACCAGTAAGTAGGAGAGATAGATTGAGAATTATTTTATACAGTGAAACAGAGAGAATAGATTGTAAAGATAAACAGTTGAAGCTAATTCAGGAATATCATGATGGTGGTCATTTGGGGGTAAGGAAAATATCGTTAAAACTAAAACAGCGATATACGTGAAAGAATATGCACAGAATGTTGAAGAACTACGTCTCGAACTGCCCACAGTGCATATTAAATAAACAGGTTAGACATTCGAAAGAACGTTTTACGAAAACTCATACACCAACGAGAAGCTTTGAGATCGTATCTGTAGACAATGTAGGTCCCCTTAGAATATCCGGGAACTATCGGTATGTTCTCACAGCACAATGCGAACTAACAAAATATGTTGTAGCTTTACCTATGGAGATGGAAGATGCAAAGACTGTTGCGAAAACTTTAGTGGAAAATTTTATATTGATTTATGGGAATTTTAAAACGTTGAAATCGGATAAGGGTGCTGAATTTATCAATCAATTGTTGTCAGAAGTATGTAGATTACTGGATATTAAACAGATATTTAGTACACCCTACCACCATGCAACCCTGGGTCGATAGAAGGGAATCATAGTGTGTTAAACGAATTCCTTCTAAACTACTCTAACAATGATTAATGGCACATCTGGTTGCCTTATTTTGCTTTCGCCTACAATGCTACGCCCCACGTAGACACGGGTTATTCACTCTACGAGTTAGTATTTGGTAAAGTACCTTACTTGCCCAATGATGAAGTTCTGTCCGAAACCCCATTTTATAATGCCGATAAGTATGTCACGGAGCTTAAATAAAGATTAAAATTTTCTCTCACTAAAGCAAAAGAGTATTTAGGTAAATCAAAAGAAAAGAGAATTGGCCATCAAAAGAACATCAAACCACCTAATCTGAAAAAAAACCTAAAAAACGAAATGTATGTTAATATTAAATGTTTCTTTATCATTTAGGATTTTTAATTAAGTACATTTCTTCATAAACCAATTTGTATTTGAACGGAGTGTACTTTATTCAAAATCGCGAGAAACCACTAGACAAGCCTTTTCGCACTAACATTTTTATACTTTATCATTCCGTTTGTAACTCCTCGAAATACTTAAGTCAGACCCAACAAAGTATATATCGATCTTGATCTAAGACGATTTAAAACGTATTGAGGTAGAAGGCTAAATTTTGCAAACGTGTTTATTTTTCCAGTAGGCAGGTTAAGTTCGTAAATGGGCTATGTAAGTCCACGTTTTCATAAAGCCCCCATATAACGGTACCTCCCTATATTCGGTATTTTGATGATTTTAGCGATATTATTCCCCGGAATTGTTTCAAATTTGGTATTTGAAGTTTGAAATGGATACTACAGCCTAAGACAGAAAATCATCTGTGCAGCTCCCCGTCTTCGTATAGCCCCCATATAACGGTACCTCCCTATATTCGGTATTTTGATGTTTTTAGCGACATTATTCCCCGGAATTGTTTTAAATTTGGTATTTAAAGTTCGAAATGTATACTACAACCCAAGACAGACAATTATCTGTGCAGGTTCACGTCTTCGTATAGCCCCCATATAACGGTACCTTCCGATATTCGGTATTTTGATGATTTTAGCGACATTATTCACCGGAATTGTTTCAAATTTGTTATTTAAAGTTCGTAATGGATGCTACTACCTATGACAGAAAATTGAAACCCAGAAGATTGGCCAGTATTTTATTCCAACTTTGAATGGTCTACATCTGCTTGTGCTTTCAACAATGCCGATAATCTTGTTCGACTTCAAAGGCGTTAAAAGGCGATGCTTTGAACAACAAATATTGGTCCATCCAGAAAACGTACCAGATGTTATACAAATACTTCAAATGTTATTTAGACAACCTGAAAAAATAATAAATTCTATCAAAAAAAGAATAACACTTGCGCCGAAAATACATGAAAACAATCCTCAAAGTCTTACTTCTTTTGCAGTCCACGTTCGGAGTTTAGTTGCCACCATTATCGCAAGCGACTTATTTGATGAAATTAATAATTCAACTCTGCTTCAGTAATTGCTGCTTAAGTTGCCGCCATCATATCAGATGAAATGGGCAAACGTAAAAATGTATATGATAAACAACAACTTCAGGCGCAATCTCTCCGAATTTGACAAGTGGATCTTTAATATTGGTATCACTGCAAGCAGTGTGACCGCTGGAAATTTTCAAAAAGTATCACAAAAAGTATAATTTCTTAAAAAAAGTGGCACATATCACTTTAAATGGTGGCACAGAAAGTGGCACAGTTTATTTCACATTTTATTTAAAACAAGTAAAAAAGTTGTAAGTTCGAACTTTGAATACCCTTCACCATGTGTGGTAAAAATTTGGCATTTTTCACAAAAAAAAAAAAAAAATAATAATAATAATAATAAAATCGGGTAAAAATTCTGTTAAAATCTTAAAAATACCGAATGTAGCCGTATATTAGGGTCCATACGACGACGTGGACCTACATAGGCAAATTTTGTCATAAACTATTATAATATTTAAATGCGAAACTTGAAAAAAAAATCTGTTTATAATGTAGCTGAAGTAAATAAAATACCGAATATAGGGAGGTGCATTGGGGTTATAAAACGTGGACCTGCACAGACAGTTTTCCGGAATAGGCTGTAGTATCAATTACGAAGTTCAAATTCAGAATTTGAAATGATTCCCGTTAATAATGTCGCTAAAATCATCAAAATACCGAATATCGGGGTACCGTTATATAGGGGTTATAAGAAGACGTGAACCTACACAGACAATCTCCTGTCATATGCTTTATTAATTATTACGAACTTCAAATACCAAGTTTGAAACAATTCCGATAAAAATTGTCGCTAAAATCATCCAAATGCCGAATATCGGGGATACCGTTATATGGGGGCTATACGAAGACGCAGATCTGCACTTACTTCAACTTACTTCATTTCGTTCGGAAGCTAGAGTGATTTCCACAGACGGACAGATGGACGGACATTGACAAATCGACGTAGAATTTTATGCTGAGCAAGAATATATATACTTTGTGGGGTCTAAAATGTATATTTCGAGGTGTTACAAACGGAATGACAAACTTAATATACCCTTCCTACTATGGTGGAGGGTATAAAAAAGGTGGCACAATGTATAAAAAAGTGGCACAAAAATTCAAAAAAGTGGCTCATTTAGGATCAAAATAAAAAAGTGGCACAAAGGTATTGAAGCCCAAAAAAAGGGGCAAAATTGATAATTTAGTGGCACAACGGTCACGCTGACTGCAAGCAGTATAACTGTTGATTACTCAACAACTAAGAGCGAGCGTAAGAGTGTTTTTGTACACAGTCCGAGAGAGTATAACTAATGTATTATTTGCAACAACAGCTATAGGCAAATTAAAATATAGACAACGAAAAGTTAATGCTGTATTTTTAACCAGGTGGATTTCATCTTGTTTTGCATAGTCAACATGCTGATTTACGCGTTCAACCCACTCAACTTCGAAAACATATTTTATCGTTTTTCAAAGATTTCGCTTGATTATTACGGAATTTTCTGATGTTATCACTTACTTTTCACATATCTTTTATTATGTAACAATTTTCATTGACAAATATCCTACAGTTTATGTAATATTTAACATTTAAGAATTGAGTGACTTCAATATTCCCACTCAAACCCTTGAAACGACATAGACGACATCTGCTGATCAGATTTTGTCGAAGATAAACGGTGAGAGCATTTCGTTGTCTTTATTTTCATTTGTCTATGCGACAACTCTTGTGGATCTGTTGCCACTTGTAAAAATATCTATCACTAGAACGTGGGGATAAATGAAAGAGAAAGAAGAATCTCTGGAAGTTTTGCCTATGCAAACACAAAGGCGAATGCAAACGAAAAAAGTGCATAGTTGATAAATGTGAATATTTTCACCACCCAACATTACA